GACGTGGTTAAAGGTGGTTATCAGCCAGTGGGTAAAGTCGATATTGCTGCAATTCGGAAGCAAGCTGCCGCATCCGGTGAGCTGAAAGATGAGCGCCCGGCAATTATCAAGGGCTCTTATGAACCCGTTGGTAAAGTTGACATCGCTGCTATTCGAGCTAGAGCACAGAAGCCGGAAGGCACCAGTGACAATGTCCCACCGACCACCGCCGTCAACCAACAACCAACAACCTTGCCCGAGCGACCTGCGCCCTCCAGTGCCTCGGAGCGCTTGACCACCCTACCTAAACCAAGGGTTGCCAACAAGTTTGGCTCTAGCCCCTCGTTCCCAGGAACAAAGCCACCCCTCCCAACTGGTCTGGAGCCTAAGCCAACCTCGAGCGCACAGATTGGAGCCGCAAGCCGCACTTTTGCCGATGAGGGAGGCAAGACACCAGCTCAAATCTGGGCAGAGCGCAAGGCCAAGGAGCGCGGAGTGGCTTCGTCATCCGGAAGCACCGAGCCTACCCCCACCCTTACCCCGATTCAAAGCCAAACTAGTGGCCAGAGCGAGTGGAAGAGCTCCTATGCGGGCAAGTCCTGGGCTCCTGTTCAAACCGCACAGGAGAAATCATATATTCCCGAACAGCCTATTGATGCAAAGGCCAATGATCAACAAGAGGACCGACCGCAACCTCCTGTCAATGACATTCGTGACAGATTCGCTCATGACGTGCCCGCACCTGCTCCCGCGCCACTTACTCCTCCTGCTCCTCCTGTTCCACAGGCCAGTCGCCCTGTTCCTGTACCGGGGCTATCCTCTGGGCCTATCGAGTCCGAACCTGAGAATGATGCCCAGCAGGCTCTTCCTACTCCCCCACCGCAGCCTCGCTCTCCGACACCTCCCACTCCCCCAGTGCGTGAGAGCTCGCCGATTCAAATTGCCATGCCGGTTGGCCACAGTGCCGCCGACAGCGTTGCGGATGTCCACGAGGAACAGCATTCTCCTCCCCCTGCTATGCCTGTTCGGAGCCTCCAAGAGGTCGTTCCAGACGAAAGAGATATTGAAGATGATTCTCACGATCTGGGCCGTGCTACGGCGGAAGAAACTGCTCCTCAGCAGCCTGAGCAACCCGAAGGCGGACCGCGAGCTCAGATCCAGTACGACTACGAGAAGGCCGAGGATAACGAGATTGAATTGCGAGAGGGTGAGTATGTGACCGACATTGAAATGGTGGACCAGGATTGGTGGGTAGGCGTCAATACTCAGGGTGAGCGTGGTCTCTTCCCGGCCAACTATGTGGAGATTGTGGAAGACAACGAGCCTGTCTCACACGCAACGGCGGGTTCCCACCATTATGAAGCAGAGCCAGAGCCAGAGCCCGCTACTGCCCCCACCCCGGCCACTCCCAGCTCCAAAGGTGTCACAGCCACAGCTTTGTATGATTATGAAGCCGCTGAGGATAACGAGATCGGATTTCCTGAAGGCGTGAAGATTTCCAACGTGGTAAGTGGAACAGTCCCTGTCTTTCTCGGCATCTGCGCCTTTGCACCATCGCTATGTACAGTGCTAACCCGATTGTAGGAATTCCCGGATGATGACTGGTGGCTTGGTGAGTACAATGGCAAACAAGGTCTATTCCCTGCCAATTATGTTCGCCTGGACGAATGATTGGATCATACATAGATACTCCAACTTGAGCAATGCGACAAGGGGGGAATTCAAATTCTATTGCTTCGCCGAATTAGATGTAACCATGTATGTATCCTGGATTCTTCTTGAGTATAAAAATACCCAGTTCACTACAAATTTCAATTGGAATCGAGTTAATAAAGCTTGTTCGAATGAGTTTTTGCCTTGTAGATAGAAACCTGTCTCCTTCTTCTTCTTATCCTTTCTCTTCTACATGTAGGTATACTCCATATGATATGTGTATCAAATCATCAACGTCATGACCGGGAGCATCTGCTTACATCAGCATCACGTGTTCCGAAAAAGTAGCCATAAACAATGTTCCTAAGGCCCCAAGGAGAGAGTTGCTTAGGCCTACAGGGATCCCCGTGACCGTTTGCACGCGACTTTCACTTTTGCGTGTACCCTTTTCTACTCTTTCCTCTTTTGTTAGCTCCGAGCCCTAACTCTTACCTCTGCATCTCAAGGTACCTGCCTTCAGTTCGACATTATGACATCGCTGGGCGAGGATCTGCTCGTGACAGTGAACAAGCTTCAGGATCTGGTCTTCAATACCATTGGGAATGATTCCTTAGATTTGCCCCAAATTGTGAGTTTGGTCAGGTCGTGAGCTCTCCGAGTTTTGAGAGGGAGAGTTGTCATTTGATGCCCGGTCAACCCCAAGACTAATCCCCACCTCCCTCTTAGGTTGTTGTTGGTTCCCAGTCATCCGGAAAGTCTTCGGTTCTAGAGAATATAGTCGGAAGGGACTTTCTACCAAGAGGTAGTGGAATTGTCACCCGACGGCCCCTAATCCTGCAACTTATCAACGTGCCCAGTGAACGTGATGATAAGCCGGAAACCGATGAGATCCATATCCCACATACGGCTGCTAGTGTTGCCGGTCAACACGAATGGGCTGAATTCCACCACCTGCCAGGGCGCAAGTTTGATGACTTTGGACAAGTGAAGCAAGAGATTGAAGCGGAGACGGCAAGGATCGCAGGAAGCAACAAGGGCATCAATAGACAACCGATCAATCTCAAGATCTTCTCGCCCCATGTGCTCAACCTCACCCTCGTGGATCTGCCTGGACTGACGAAAGTGCCGATTGGTGACCAACCGTCCGATATTGAAAAACAAACACGTACCTTGATTCTGGAATATATCGCCAAACCGAACAGCATTATCCTTGCGGTGTCTCCGGCCAATGTCGACCTGGTCAATTCCGAGGCGCTGAAGCTTGCCCGCCAGGTGGATGCCATGGGCCGGAGGACGATTGGTGTGCTATCAAAGCTGGATCTTATGGACCATGGCACCAATGCGATGGACATCCTGTCTGGACGTGTGTATCCCCTAAAGCTTGGATTTATCGGTGTTGTCAACCGGTCTCAGCAGGATATCCAGTCTGGAAAATCGCTCTCCGATGCATTGCGGGCAGAGTCTGAGTTCTTCCGGCATCACCCAGCTTACAGGAATATGGCCAACCGTTGCGGTACGCACTTTTTGGCTAAGACCCTGAACACAACTCTGATGTCGCACATTCGCGACCGGCTTCCGGATATCAAGGCTCGGCTGAACACCCTGATGGGTCAAACTCAGCAAGAGTTGGCCAGCTATGGAAACAAACAGTTCAGTGGCGAAGAACACCGGGGGTCATTGATTCTTCAACAAATGACCAGATTCGCCGCCTCATTCATCTCATCTATCGACGGAACTTCATCGGAGATCTCTACCAAAGAGCTATGCGGTGGAGCAAGAATTTACTACATTTTCAACTCTGTTTTTGGAAACTCACTGGAAACAATTGATCCCACTCATAACCTGACTGTCTCCGACATCCGAACGGCCATCCGAAACTCGACAGGTCCTCGCCCCAGCCTGTTTGTCCCGGAATTGGCCTTTGATTTGCTGGTGAAACCACAAATCAAACTCCTCGAATCGCCCAGTCAGCGATGCGTGGAGTTGGTCTACGAGGAGCTTATCAAGATCTGCCACACATGTGGCAATCAAGAACTCCTGCGTTTCCCTCGTCTCCAAGGAAAGCTAATTGAGGTAGTATCTGACCTTCTTCGTGAGCGCCTGGGCCCCTGCTCGACTTATGTAGAATCTTTGATCTCAATCCAAAGAGCTTACATCAACACCAACCACCCAAACTTCCTTGGCGCCGCAGCTGCCATGTCTTCAATTATGCAGAACAAGCAGGACGAAGAAAGAAAAGCCGTGCTAGCAGAGGAAAAAAGAAAGCGCGAGAAGCGACGTCAAAAGGAGTTGGGAGCTCCCAATGGAAATACGGGAGGTCCCGACGAAGAAGAATATGCTGACAAGCAAAGCCTTCCCATTCGAAACCACTCCTCTAAGGGATCGCGGAGCATGTCTCCTCACGTTGGCCGCACAGGCGAGAATGGCATTGCTGCTACTCTGAATGGCGCTCAATCAAACCATGCTGCCTTCGGTGGTGCCTCGAATACTGCCCGCGACTCGTTCCTGAACTACTTCTTCGGCAAGGAAGGTACTCACAACATGGCCATGCCGCCGGCAGGCATGAGCACCAACCGGCAAGGGCCACATACTGGTGAGCCCAGCATTAGCCAGAGCATTCGGCGTGCTGAGGTTCGGGCTCCCATTATGCCGACTGAGGAGTACACTGCACCACCGGAGTACGGCGGTGACATGTCCGTCTTCGTAAGTACCACTGTGTAGGTGTTGTTAAGCTCCACATGCGTCTGACTGACCTCAACTCTTATAGCCCCATGAGAACACAGAGCCTGCACTTACAGACCGTGAGATGCTCGAAACCGAGCTCATTCGCCGTCTCATCTCATCATATTTTAACATTGTCCGAGAGACCATTGCGGATCAGGTTCCCAAGGCTGTCATGCACCTCCTTGTCAATCACTGCAAGGACGTAGTGCAAAACAGACTCGTGAGCGAACTTTATAAAGAAGATCTTTTCGGCGAGCTTCTCTACGAGGATGATGGCATCAAGGCTGAGAGAGAGAAGTGTGAGCGGCTATTGGAAACATACAAGGAAGCTGCCAAGATCGTGGGTGAGGTGTTATAGATGGTTTTCTGTTTTATTATTTTGGTCTGGTTCGGGGGTTAGTCTGGGTGATCTTGATTCTGCGTCATGCTTGACGCCTTTCCACTCCAATGGGGTGGACGATGTTGCTTCCATCTTCAATTTATGTACAACTATTGTGGCCTGCACATGATCTCGATATATCTTTTCTTCTATTCGTGACATCAGTCGCTCTTGGAAGTATAACCAGCTGTAAGATCAAGACATCACGTACGAAATGAATTTTCGCTAGATATACATAGGTCAAATACCCATCTAATATGCAATATCACTGAGCCTTTTTGGCAACACTTCGTAAACGCGCCCCCTCAAAACCATATAGACCACCCCCAACAAACACCAGAGTCGCGCCGATCAAGACACCCCCCGCCAAATGATTCCCGAAGAGATAGATCGACAGGAGCAGGGAAACCAGCTTGCGAACATTCAAGAAAATAGTAACAGTCAACGACGACGACTTGGCCGACAAAAGATGAACTCCTCGGATACACAGGTACTGCGTCAGTGCATTCATCGCCAGATAAGCCACCTGAACCGGCAGATGCGCCAGGAAAGCCTTCACAACCTCAATCTGGCAGATCTGCCTCAGCACCGAGAACGCAGTGCCTCCAATCGCACACTTCGACACCCACAGCTCCGAATTTAAATGCGACAGTAAAGAAGGCGATGAAGCCACCACCCGCCACTGACCCAGCAATTGCGGACAACTCGTCAAGAAAAGGGGCAGAGAAATTGCGTGCGAGTAGAAAAGCGCCTCTTTCCAATGATCCCTGCCGTAAGTCGCGTACAGCCGGTCGGCATAGATCCCCTGGAATGCAGAGAGGACCATCGCGAGCACGAGGATGGTGAAGCCCGTCACAGTCGTCATTGTGTCCGCCGTATCAGAGTCGACGTGGATAGACACACCTTTGGATTGCGCGTCGGCCAGGGCGGCTGCCGCCACACCCACTGTCAGCATACCTATCGAAGCGATCTGACCACGGGAATAGCGCCTGCCGTTGTATATGTAGCCGATTACCATTGAGGCGACGGGGCCTGCAGACCGGAGGATTATGTGTAGTGGAACAGAGATCTTGTATGCAAATGCCCAGTTGTTTAGCAGGTTCACGCTCACAAAATAAGCGGTGTATACCACCCATGATCGTAGTGGGATAGCGCGTGGGTTCAGGAATAGGGCTCGTGGTCCGGCTGAGGGGGATAAGAAGCTTGGGATGGTGAAGAGGGCGCAGATAGCGAATTGGGCGAATGTTATCAAGGGACCTATGTGAGGAACGTGTTTGGTTAGGATATGCAATGTGGTTGTTTTCATTGGTTCCGGTTGTTGTTCTTACCGGCAGTAGGCTGTTCTCTAGAGAAGACATGTGATTAGCATTCTGTTTGGATTGACCTGACTTGTTGACTTACTTGATGATCGCCTCTAGTGCAAAGACCTATACACAAGATCAGTCCTGTTTTACCCCCATAGCAGCGTTGGATATTTTCTTGACACGCACATTGGCACAGCAGCCCCCGAAGATAAGGGAGACCATTAGAACCATGCTTGTCCAGCTAGGAACCGCCGCATGGGCGGCAGCAGCAACGAGGCCCGGGGCATCTTTCTTCAATTGAGCATAGTCAAGCTTATCCTCGGATTTTCGAGATCGAGGCGTGGTCGAAGCGAGGTTCGCGTTTTCATATGTGTTCACAGCAGAGACTCGAGAGCGATTGATCAGGTAAGAGTCATCGTGTTCTCGTTTCGAGGGTTCATGATCATTGAGCATTCTATTGAAGTGTGAGTGATCATTGAGATGAATTGTAAAGATGAATTTACCTAGAAGATTCGAAGGGCTATGAAAGGCGAGGTGGTTAAAAGAAAGAAAGCTGGGGCTGAAGATAAGAGAGTGGATTACGAGATAGGCGGAGTACGGAGTAAGTACGGAGTAAGTACGGAGTATATACATATAGTATACATGGTCTTCACATTAAATAATTCACTATGATGCACATGTCAATCAACAATATCATCGTCACTGAGAATCAATTTCTCTTCCTGTTCGGGCAGTCGAGCTCTAAACCCATTACTGCTGGGTTGCTTCACACGCGACGGTACCGGAAACTCCTCCATGTCGTCCAGTCCATCATTACGAAGATTATCGTTGGCGCGAATGCTGGTGATCTTATCTAATTGCCAACAATCTGGGTCCTGATGCCGGATTGCAGCCATATAAGGCAATTGATGAAGTAGTAGATCATGCCGAGGTATCATTGTGACCACACTCGGAGTGTGATCTTTCTGCCCCGAGTGGATCGATGCTGACCTTCCCACCTGGAGATTCATCCAGGAACTGACGCCCGTGAGCTCAGAGCCAGTTTGAGAAAGATGCTGTCCAAAAGGATCGAGTGATCGGTTCACCCATGAGTCGACCAGGCCATCGATTTCCTCAGCCTCTCTCCACAGTCGCAGAGATGCCGGGTAAAACATCTTGAACACATCACCCGCGCGGCTTCGTCCAGTTCCAGATCCAACCCGTCTCTTGACCGGGTAGGGAAGGGCAAAAAGAAGACCACGCGCCGCAACTTGAAAGCTCATTTCCTCCTGCCGGAGCACATCGACGCCGCTGCCGAAAGAGGTAGTTCCAGTTCCTATCCCGGCCCGTGCCCCTTGCCCTGATCGGCGATCGGCACTGAGGATATCGCTATCGGAGAGTGCGTCGATGCAGTCGTTGAAACAGCCGGTGAAATTATCTCCATCGCAGGATGGGATGTAATTCTCATGGAGAGCACTAATGAATGTTGATATGTCGGTCCCGGTCTCGTCGACCAGATCATTGACCAATACTTGCGAAGCTTTTGGTCGGGCATAGTGGCGCAGATAATTCGGTGGCGGTGGAAGGATCTCGACATCCCCCTCGATTAGACTCGGGTCCATGCGTTTGTTGTACACAATTTTTCCAACGGCGTGAAACATGCCCAGACTCGCTTCTCTCTGAGTTATCACCTTGAGAGACTCTTTCTCCATCGCCGTCAAAGCAACCTCACCTCGAGCTTTCTTTGTTTTGGCCACGATGCCTCCCCATCTCCCCGTATCGTCCCCCTTGAGACAGAGGAACTCGAGAGAGGAAATTGCACTGCGAATATCGCCGATTTCAGAGATACTGTCTATAACACCCGGCCCAGGTATCTGGACACGTCGGGAGTTCCGCGCCTCTCTGTCCAAAATAGACCGTAAAGCCTTGTGCATAAAAGTGGGTGCAATGCTGTTGAAATCTAAGATTGTTGTCCCGGGGTGATTGTAGATCGTGGGCCCTAGTAATCGGTGAACTGTCAGGTTATCTGAGATTGAGGACGCAGATCCCAACAAAGTCTCCGACACGATGATCACGATGGGCGGATGATTTAATCCAGAACTGCCCCGAGAATTATCATTCGCAGAGGCACCCAAATATCGTTGAAGAGAAGTCCGAAAGGCCGTAAGGGCGGAGGATGCCCGGCCGAGCACAGTTGGAAACTCCTCTATAAGAAGTATCCTCTGGTGCCAAGATCTCTCATCTTTCTTGGGATCGAGCTCGCCGGTATTTTCGAGATCAAGTCCTCCAAACTTATCGCCGCGTCCAAGAAACTCTTCAAAGTGCGCGCTCACAGATTGATAATCGCGAGCTCCATATTCCGAAACCGGGGGATTCTTCCACTCGACAATGTCGTAACCAAGTGACTCGGAGAGCAGGGACACAGTGGTCGTCTTCCCACTGCCTGCCGGACCCCGTAGGACGAGTAACCTCTTGCATATTATCAGAACTGCATTCAAACCAAATCCCGAATTATTCTCAGCTGATCAACAACTCACCTCAGAACTCCTCCCAGCAAAAGCATCTTCCAGCCAATGCTGTACATCTGAAACCTTTTTCTTATGAACGGCCAATTCGCCTAGGTTGACCGGAGCGAACCGCTGAGCCCATGGTCGACGGTCCGGTTCGCCAGCCGGTTGTGCAGCCAATTGCCCCTTTGAAGTGGCATTCCCAGAGTCCGTAGACAGAAGGAACCGTTTAGTCGTCTTCCGCGGCGGTTTAACTGGGTCCTTTGGCTTTGGTGCTGGCCTTGGCGCGGGCTGATGCGTCTGGCTGGAGCTCATGGCCGCCGGACCCGTTGCCGCCCGTTCGTTGGCTAAATGCTGTGTGAAGATTTCATCGTAGGAGTCGTAATCATCCTCAATCAGATCCGCCTCGACAGTCTCCCTGACCGGCGGGAGGGACTGCTTCTCGGTCTTTTGGGGTGCCCATCGTTGTCCTTCTGTTGCGGGCTGAAAGAAGCTGTGCAGGGACTTGGATGTTGAGTTTGGATTTAGTGACGGTTTATTATTTTTGTTTGGAGAAGGTGAGGACGAGGGGAGCCGGGTTGATGGTGTTGTGCCGCGTGAGCAGGAGGGTTTTGGGCGTGAGGAGAGAGCAAAGGGTTCTTCTGTTGATTCGATAGGACTGGAGCTATCTGAGATTATGACGGGGGCTTTTCGTGATTTTACTTTCGGCTCTTGCTTTGAATCCTTCGATCTGCGTTGTTTTTTAAGAGGACGACTGTCCATGATGAGTTGGATCAAAAACCTGGAAGTTGAGATACGCGGTCCGATAAGCTTATGACGCCAAGCGGTGGGCCATTTGCCAGTATACATCCATACATATTTGCATTCATACATACATACATACATACATACATACATATAAATTGTATTGGTATAGATGTAATGATATTAGTTTATGTTAGAATTAGAATAAATCACATCAAAACAAATCGCATAACGGGTATATTGACCAGAATCTGAGTCGGCGGAGCCAAAGAAACCAAAATCTCCCTAATAGCCAAAGAGAAAAGAGAAAAGAAACCAATATAGAGCCAAGTACTCCCTATGCACCTCCAAATACATCATAATAGTAATCTTCATCCAAGCCGTCTCTCGCAGGGACTTGGGGAGCCTCACCGGCGAAAGTGGCATCGTCAAACCGGACATTGAGCAGGCGGATTTTCAGCCCATAATTGCTGACTAAGTCAATCAGTTTGCTTGTCTCTGCCGTAATGGGTTGCTGATTGAGGAGCATCAGCAGACCATCCAGCCATTCGGACGCAATGCTGTGCGAGGAGGGTCGCAGCGTGAGCAGGACTACCTCCTTTTGGGTGGTCCTGCTGCTGCACCGCGCGTGACTGTGGTTTTTTCCGTGTCCGGTGGCTGTGGAGGTCGCGTATCCGTGAATGGTGATCTTGGTTGCGGGTTGACGGGGTGCGGTCTTCACGGTGGATGTGGAGGAATGGTCTGGGTTGGTGGAGACGTTGGAGACTACGGATGATACGATTGAGAGATCGACTGTTTGAGGGCACGGCCCAGTGTTAGCAACAAATACAAGATAACATGTGTGTGTGGTTATAGGTAAACACTCGGTAACACTCACTTTTCTCTGGTAGGGTGTCCAACTCCGGAGCTCGGTCGCCCATCAGGTCAAATTGACCGAAATGCAAGTATCGTCGGTTATGAGAGAGCTGGGCATATTGATATGTGGCAGTCGACTTCTGCACTGCTCCCGCCTCCGACTTGGAGTGAGATTCCAAAGCGAACCAGCTGCCTTGGAGCAAAGATCGGATTCGTTGCTCCTTGACAAACTGGAGAGCCTCATGGTGAAGTTCCTCGCGCACCTGTCGCAAGTGCTGGCCCCATGCATCCTCGTACGTAAGTTCAAGGAGTTCCATCTGCAGCCCGCGCAATCGGTGGTATTCGAAATCGGCCAGCTCCTCTTCGACATCCTGGACATCCTTGATCCGAGCAGCTCCGCCAACCACCGACTCAATGAGGATACGCACGAGCTCAATAAGCTTGTCCAGGTCCTCTTCCTCGGCGGCAGTCGCCTTCCATAGGCGGAAGAAGGCTTGTAAGCCGGCAACATGTAGTCGCGTCCAATGTAAGAGCAACGGCTGGAACAGTTTATCAAAGCCCGCACGGGACTCTGAAATGAGATATGTTTTGGTATCATCCATGTCGGACTTTTCGACTTCGAAATGCTCGTATAAGATGGATGTGACGGCCAACGATGCCCGAGCGATCGGACACCGTCGTCGCGATGGCTTTGTAGAGTGCTCCAAGAGCATATTCTGAAACTCATCGCCATGGCTGCGAACATAGTCCGCCAGATCCATCATACCCAGGAAACCAACCTCGTAGAATTCCCCCGCCGGACTCTCTGTCTCAAACCCAAGCCGCCTCCACTTTTCCGGATGGTGTCGTCTAGAGCGTCGTGTATTCTCGCCGTTCTCGGTAGCCTCGTCGGTATTCTTCTCCGGGTTACTGGCAAGATAAATCCCCTTGAGCGCGCGGCGATGCTCAGGCTTCTCCTGATTGACAGGAATATCTCTCCACTTGCGGAGCAGGACCTTGGTGAGTGACTGGAATTCCAGCAGCGGATGCGCCAGGTCCTGAAGGGCGGAATCCTGCATAAGCACGTAGACCGCTCTGATAACACCCAAATCCTGTAACTTTTGAATAAACTTGGGCCACTCCGTCTCGGGGTCATGGGTGATGGAGTCGCGCATGAGCGAGTTGATCAATTGGAGCGCATTGGCACACAGCGCATGGTCCGCGGAGGATAATCGGCTGACTAGCATCTCTAGGAATTGGGGGTATATGGCGATTGCAGGCTTCAGGGCGCGGAAACCGAAGTTGTTGACCTGGGATGCGCGATTGCCCATGTACGGGTGGGAAACAATAGAGACGAGGATGGACATGGCGCCGCGGAGGATATTGACTAGGGGATGGGTGACTATCAGCTCGACAATCTAGAAGAACAATCACATTAGCATCTGACCTGGCCGCGGAAAGGGGACAGAAGCATAGGCAGAGCATAGGCAGAAGAGCACTGTGCAATGGCTTCGAGGATAACTCACGCGCTCAACCAATTCCTGATCAACACACTCCCACCCCTTGTCGACATCGAGGAGTCTCGAGAAACTGGTCAAACTATATGCCAGGGTATTCCCGCTTGCGTGAAGGGTTAGGTAGCGTAATCGAACCAGGCCACCCTCTGCGATGAAGATGTCGGCGAAGGATGGGTCTCCGATGTTGCTCTGGAGCTTGAAGACGGCCATTTTGCGCACGGCATCTTCATCGCTACCTAGGCGCTCGACCAATTCGGCGACATTGACGGTTTCCATATCCTTGAAGCCAGTAAGAAAACCCTCTGGGGAAGACCTCGGGGGAAGTTCAAGAAGAGAAACAGATCCAGGGGGGGGGGGGTTTGCTGTGGGGCAATTGTAATTTAGATAGTTGATCTCGGTGATGTCGATCTCTTTTTTTAAAAAATTTAAGCATGAATCGATTGAATACTTCAATACTTTAAAGAAGTTGAAGATTGAAGGATCATTGAAACAAGACCTAAATAGTGGAATTCATCTCCCGAGGTCAACCCCCTACATTTTATACACCCCAACCTCGTAATTTCTTCTACGAATCAATAGTTACATATATGTACATTATATAAGGACTGTATAGCTGAAATTCCAATTTAATGGTTTCAATATGTGTTATTCTTTATGCATTATGTCGTTACATGATCCTTAACAATCCAGTGGGTGATTCTATACAAAAAGATAAATGACTTCATCAACTCCAACACCATCTTTCTACCCCAAAACGCCACAGGATATAGCCTGTTTTTTTCTGTTCCATTATGTACGACGGGCTAGCCGTCATCGTCGATCGTAAAATTAGCAATGGTCAAGATTAGCGGCGCCAGCCCACATTCCAAATCACATGGGCGATGTCTCGGGCTGTGTTCACAGTGTCCACAACCCGGTCTAAGAGACTACTGCTGGGGGTCTCGGTCTCGCCTTCCGGCATGATCATGCCCGAAGCAGTTAATCGGATCAGGCGATCTGGTGCTGGATCATCTTCCATAAACCATGCACGATCACGTTCGGGATAATTGCCCGTGAAGTCCAAGCTGGGATCTTCACATTCATCCAAAAGGAAGTTGGCCGAGGGCTCCGATGGCCCTGACGGACGTAGGGTCTCCACCGAGGGAGTTGGTGATACCGTCCGGGTGGGGATGGGGGTGGACCATCGGTCCAGGATCGTCTGAGTGTGGGACTCCGGGGGACCTCCGCGATACTTGAGTGTGGTTGAAGGGAGAGGGGCGATGGTTTTCCCATCACCGGTGAAGCTGTTGCGTGGGGTGCTACGGTTGCTTAGGGAGGACCGGCTAGAGATTTGTCTCATCAAGACTACACCGTCGTCGGACGATGACTCTTCAAAGGTGGCCGGCCAATCGTCCTCGTAAGACTTGGCTTCGACCGCGATGCATTGCACGACTTCATTATTGAAGTGAATATGGCGCCGTTCACTTGGAGATGTCATTCCGGATGATGATGAGGTAGTGAGGGTGCCACCGAGGGAGTAGGTCGAGCTTCCAGTGCGGTGATGCAATTGATCCAAGTCTGTGTTGGACCTCGGGAATGGAGGTCGAGCCCAGTTGTTCTCGGCTTCTTGAGCCTTGAGAATGGCCCCGGCATGTTGGAGTAACGTATGTTGAGATAGTGATCGTTGGAGGATGGCCTCAGACGCGGTCTTCTTCTTCAGGATTGGCTTTCGGTCTAGATAGGAGTTTGGTGTCTCCAAGCGACTTGGAGGGGGAGATGGAGAGGTTGCGCGTTCGACGGAACTTTTTAATGGGCCGTAGAGCCAGGTGACATCACAGTCCTTCAGCCTGGTCAAAGGTTAGTGGGGGTAAAAGAGGAAAAGATCCATGGGATTAATAACCCACCAATTGAGGCTTTCCGGTGATATCGTCTTCAGGTTGTGCTTGGCCTTGGCCCATGTCCTCCAAGAGGCATTCTCCAATCTCACTCCGTTACTATAATCGTTCCTCCGACTTGTCACATAACGCCAGGAGGACCAGATATCCTCCTCCTTCCAGTCATGGGAAAGGTAGTCCACATGCCTGGAGGGCTCATCGTCAATTAAGGTGTCATCTGCCGATGGAGGCTGTAACGTCCACGAATGTGGGTGTGGTTCTGTCGACGCGTCGCTCACATCCTCTGGTTCTTTGGCATTGTGGAAGGATTCTGGATCGTAGGAGGGTAGGATGAGTTCATTTTCCGGTGCCAGGCTATTTAGAGTAGGCGCGTAGGCGAGTTGGTCGGGGTTCAGAGTGAAATTCGGACAAGGCAGCGCCGAGGGCAGATTTGATGCGACTGGGGAGGAGTCCCTCGCGCGATAGTCATCTTGCATTGATTTTCTGGGGATGACGTGATCTTCTAAGAAATATCGTTGCGCAGTGGGACTAGTGGGACACCGTAATGGATCCGAGAAGGGCGAATGAGTTTCGCGGGGAGTCAACAACGTCGTCATTTCCTTTGAATGATGTAATTAAGGGTTAAGGGAATAAGTTGGCAATGGGTCCATTCAAAGATATAGTATAACCAGGTGATTGCTCACAGGAATAATATTCCAAGGATGAAGGAGAGGAGATAAGAAGAGAAAGAAGAGAGGAAAAGAGGAAGAGGAAGAGGTAGTGGAAGTGGAAGAGGGAGAGGGAGAACTCAAGATAGGGAACCGGAGAATCTGGAGGTGGAGATCTGACTGTTCCCGGTTTTCTGGGGGACCGGGGGGACTTGATTATGAGTTAAAAGGGAAAAGAGAAACAAAAGAAAAGCAAGTTTTATATTCCAAGAATACAAGGATGAAATATGGAAGAAAAAAAGATATATAAAAGTTGCCACTAAATCTATTAAATCTAGGTCTAGTCTGGTAACTTATAGTACTATAGTATTATAGTATTATATTATTATATTATAATAATAGAATAAAAGAATAAAAGAATAAAAATACTAAATCTAGACCGCGTCAACCGTTCTTCTCCACCAAATATGCAAGTCGGTTTTTAGTGGGAAATGTGCTATGCGTTGTATAGTCGATCTGGTAAAATATATGGTATATATAAGAGTATATAACCACAAACTATAGTGTATAATACATAATATATATATATATATATACTATATCCGATATGTATACTATATTATATAGAAATATACAGAAATAGACCCGTTCAAGCAAAATACCTCTACGCCATCGCCATCGGAGTATCACGGAGCTATCCGGGCCAGAGCCTATCGTCCCCCGATGCATCCGTAGGGTCTGAGCACGTTAGTCTTCCAGAGTCGGACCCCTTCGATCTGGTTTTTTTTTTTTTTTAAAAAATTGGGGGTTTTTTTTATATATTCTTTTTCATCGAGGATTTATTTAACCAGCTCCAGATCACAGACTAGCCGAGGCATTGGCATTTCTAGACTGTGGTACTTCGTACTTTGTACACTTGTACACTTGTACACTAGTACACATAGAACCAGACCCTATTGCTAAATCATCAAACGTAGCCATGATCGACCGGAGATATCAGCCGAAGTTAAAAGCACAGATAGAGCAATACAAGACAGTTGAAGGGGTTGATAAAAGATAGCCAGAGTATGTCTTTAGTTTCAGCCATTGACATCTTCGACTTTTTCCATTCTCCCTCAATTCGTCAATTCGTCAATTCATCAATTCATCAATTCCCCAATTCCCCAATTCCCCAATTCCCAACTAACTTCCAATGTTGTACGGACAGCTCGTGAATATGCAAGATAGAGCTAAACATAAGGGGAAAAAAAAAAAAAAACCGAAAAGAAATCGAAAACGAAAAGGTGTCGTACACACATAATTGCCTTTTGTCTGTGCGCTTGCATCGACAACATCTGGGCAATCACTCACCGAGGACCGTCATGATTGGGCTAAAACCCTGTTGGTTTATAGGCGCAATGGTTGATGTAAATTGGCCAGTGATAACCGCCCATCGCGGCATGCTACCGTAAAGTATTCGTGTTCAGGCCCTTGCTGGAACTGGAAACATGAAACTTTGTATGAGCCATTCCGAGAGCAAATTCCAAGTTCCATGTTCTGGCCCATCGTTAAACCACCTCCTCTGTGCGGAGGCATGATCTGTAGCGCTAGTGCGATGCTAGTGCGATGCGCACCCCGGTCTCTTCCCCACGGGCCTCTTAACGTTTGTCATATTCGACGCCGATCATTGGCCCCCGAACAGTATCAGTCAGAGACACCCTTTCGCTGCTTTGACGCATGTCGCCAACACTTACATCAGGGGCAATCAATTATCAGTCCCCACTAGCTTCGCGTCCAAGGACTCTTGATAATGCAAGTAGGTGATGAGGACCGGTTTTTGACACCCGCCTAGATACGTGATGCGAGACACGGGGTCACACACGGGGATTGCAAGGTTGCAATTGACTATCTTATCAGCCATTTGCGGATCTACCTAGGTATCGTCAAACTGGTGCACCAATTGGCACGCCGGGTCCCCTATCCCCTATCCCCTATCGTGATGGTCACAGCTGCACCTTAAATGGGCTCATGTCGAAGAGGGGGGGTTGTCTGCATCGCCCCCAACTTTCCAGATTCAGTCAACCGAGGCCTCCATCTGGGGAGATTGGACTCATCCCACAGCTGTCAAAGGGGAGATTAGCATATCTTTAGATATGAAATGTTGTGCTGATGAGTGACTTTTGCCCCAATCTGAAACTTGTAAGATAAAATCATTTTTGAGCATGTAAGATGGTCCAATAATGAGCAATTGAACATCATATACCATTTGGACTTTGCTAACAAAAGCAGGTGACCGTCATTGCACGTGATATCCCAAACCAGCTTAGCTGGCAGAACTGCCCCTCCGCCCCCGCCATATGTGTTGATTCTGGCAAAGAACAAAGTCTAGACTGAGATACCATTTACCAAGGTACTATTTACTATTTTCATATCATGGCCGAGGTAGAAACAACCCCAGCTGTACAGGCAAGGCACGTTGTCTACTGTGGAGGTGAGGACCCCCGTGGCACAAACCACAATCCCAATTCGTTTGAGAATATAGCGCTGATCGGATCCTGATAGTTTGCACATTACCCCCGGAGGTATGACCGTCGAGTTCCCCCCCCCCCCCCCCCCCCCAAAGTCCCCAGTTCTCAGTCCTCCAGAAGTGAAGGGCCCAGCCCACTCCTTTCCCCCGCTCTTACCCCTGTTTCTTAGCTCTTATCACCCGGGCCCCGGCTTCGTCGTGCGTGGCATAGCTCCTAGCCACTAGAAAGCGCCCACTGAGCCTGCATAAGTCACTATTAGATCTATACGTGCATTGAAGATCAAACATGTTGCTGACGTGCGGGGTTCTTGTCTAGTATTGCGAGTTTGGAGGTACCGCTAAGAAATGCGAAGAATGGCTCAAGGATAACGAGTCGGACATGTGGGACACACTATACTCTGAAGGTACGCAGCTTCCATGCTGCTTGGCTGGCTGGCCATTACCTGCATCTTGCAATCCAACGGCCCGGAAATGGGAAATTCCAACATTCTAACCCGGTTTTCTTTCTATTAGATGCCCTGAATGCCAACCTCTCCACCCTCTCCGTCTCAGCACAAGAACGCGCCGCCAAAGATGCCGCCAAGAAGGAGGCCAAAGCTGCTGCTAACGAGGCACGCGATAGCGAGCGCAAGGCCGCATCTAAGGTTCAGATCAAGCGTGTCGAGCGTAACAAGCGCAAGTACGTGACGGTCGTTATCGGGCTGGAAATCTTCGGACTAGAGAACAAGAAGATCGCAAAGGACTTAGGCAAAAAGTTTGCTACGGGTTCTTCGGTGACCCGCTCGCCTGCGGGTATTGAGGAAATCACCGTTCAGGGTGATGTTAGTGACGACCTGCGTGAATGGCTCCTCGAGATCCACGGTAAGAAGATCCCCGCATCTAATATCGAATTGATCGAAGACAAGAAGAAGAAGAAGAGCGAGGGCCCGATGGTATAATGACGAACACGAATCCTTTGCGGACTGGGTATCATGACATAAATCTAAAATAAAAGTACAAATTGAAGAAAATTCAAGCATAAACCAGAAACCAGAAATCCGTTGGAGCACAACCTACATAGGTCGGATCGGGGAATTAATCTAGGTTAAGGGCCCGGAGCACAGGGGAAAAAAAACCATTTCATAATTCATCCAGCACGCCCAAAGCATCATGTTCAGCAGATAATGCATCATGCCCTGACCGGATCGTCGAAGTTGGACCAGCCTTGTCCATGCTCTCACGATGATCTGCGAGCTTGGACGGATATCGAGCAGGCCCTGTATCAGACCCTGAACCTCTTCCCTGGAGACCGAGAACCTCATCCCACACCTCAGACTGAGGTGGAACAGAGGGCGAAGAGTGGATCGACACTATTAAACGTGACGTCTCAGTATGGGAAGACCAGAATTCCGGCCAGTTCTGGAGGACTAGAGCGAGTACAAGCACCAACAGCGCACTTATGAAAATGCCCCAGAAGATGCGTAATCGACGACTGGTCCGGGTTTGCCATTCTATTTCCCGCTGTTCCCAGCTATCGATCTCGTGTCGTACGGTCTCAAGTCGTCTGCCTAGTTCCTCGACGCGCTGTCGGCCTGCTTTCATGCGTTGTTCTAACGCGTCGGCCTTTTGGATCTGTGGCTCGAAACCCTTTAGGTCATTGAGCTGTTTGCGGATATCCTGGTCCAACCCGGCCGTTTCGTGTTCGAAGTCGTTGAGAAGGGTTGATGCCGAGTCGGAGAGTTCCTGGAACGACGAGATAGTCGAGTTGAGGGCTGTGATTTTCTCAAGCAGATTGTAATAGGTGTAATCAAGCCGACGGGTGACATCTGTCGCTAGCGTCCCAATTGATGTCAAAGCAGACCGTAGACACCTTGAAACGGTCGTTAGTCAATCTCCTACTCCCAAAGAAGCCAAGGAAGAAAACATACTCCTCGCCCAGCTTCCTCCGCTTCTTAACCTTCTCTAGGTCATCCATAGACAGAATCTCATGCCGGCGGATAGGCGCCAATTGCTCATGCTGCGCAGGTGTATCGAGCAGACTGCCCTTCCGACCATCCAATAGACCAGTAGTCGACTCAGACCCCCAACGACTCCGGGTCGTCTCCCTCGTAACTGGCCTCAACAGCGAATCATCACCCTCGCGGTCCTTATCCTTCCCGCCCGACCACGTAGGGAGTAATCCCCTCGCGCTCGCCGAGGAAGCCAGATGGCTCATAGGATTAGGGAAGCGCAGTTCCCGCGACTTGCTATATTTGCGGCGGTGGGACCTCGTGCCATCGAAGGGGGATGGCTCTTGCGGTTGAGGGGATAGGGATGGACGAGTTCGATGTTCTCCTTTTGGGGAGATTTCATCGGAGCCATGGCGGTGCGAGCGGCGGGACCTTCTTCGGTCTGTTCGGCGGCTTTCTTGACTACCAAATCTAGAGAGGTCCTCTGATTTGGACTGGAGGTCACTGGCCTGCTGGCTTTGGTTCGGGCTCTGGGTGGAGCTTTGGGTGGGTGGGAATGTGGCGGAAGCTGCTCGGGATGTTGAGAATGGTGCGTGTTTATATGGAGGTTCCATGGCGGTACATTCTGAGAAGAAAGCTTGGAAGCTTGGAGGCTTGGTGTCGTCGGAGTGTGGAGTTGGGGTGGCATCGATGACGCCAAGGCTGAAGACCGATCAGTGACTCTGCAGATAGTATCATATTTATGATATATCGTCCTCCCTACTACCTATATTGTACTAGTTAAATTTGACTACGCTAATAGATTTTGATTATAGAAAAACATTTGTCTTGCTCGCTAGTAGTGACCTATGACCTAACCTCAGAAAAAACGCCTGTAATCGAACAGCCCACGCCGGAATGAGTGTTCAGCCTTTCCCGCTAGGGACAAGGAAGAAGGAAGAAGCCTCAACAAGCCGATGTATATACACACAATGCAGTCCTGGAGGAGATGGAGAGATGGTATGGCGGAGATATAGAGAAGACCGTGAACAGCTTCAAGAGCTGAGCAGCTTGTTGCGCTTCTCTCTGCGCTTGAGACGGTCAAGTCTCTTGTGGTGCATCTTCTCGGCCATCTTCTCATAACGTAGCTTCTCTTCCTTGGCTTCTCGGCGGTTCTTGATGCGCTGGATACGGGCCTGGGTGGGTTCATCGGTCAGTGATACAGTCTTGGGAAGTCATGTGTTGTCGGAGATAATATCATTATTATGGAGACAGGCTAACTAGAGATGAAGACCAGACAAAGCCACGAAAGGAATAAGGGAAGTGAGACAAATCAAGAAAAGGAAAGGAATAAGATCGACATACCTTCCGTTCAGCCTCGGCTTCCTCCTTCATCTCACGTTCAAGTTCTTTGACAGCATCGCTGTGCTTCTTGAGCTCTTGACGCTTAGCGTATGAGGTCAAACCCGCAGTAGGGCGGAAAGCCTTCTTGGTTCCATGCCAGTTTTTACCTAAAGGTCCGATGGGGTTAGCCGGGGAGATGAGGAACAGTAGGGAAGTGGGGACAGGGTATTATTATTATTTTTTTTCCCTCACTTACCATTTTTCCGCATGCCGGTGGTCGGAGGCACGACTGGTGTAGCTGTTGAGGTAGACATGATAGAATATGTGACTTGGAAAAAAAGCAATTCCAAGTGGAAGATTCAAGAAAGTGGATTGGGGGGAGGGGAAAGGAAACATGAAGCCAAAAGAGAGGCGAGAGACGGAGACCGAGTTTTTCTCATTGATTATCTCGATCTGATAAAATGTCTTGGCGTCCGCTAAAGAGAGAAAATGCCTTCTCGGCCCAAATTTCCTGACTCCACCTTTCTTCCCATTTCCCACTCGACTTCTTCCTACAGGCTGTTTTATATTATTTACCCATATTCTGCCTAGGTTGGGCTTTGTCCTCGTTTCGTTTCTCCTCGTTAGCTTCTGGACGGTGGCTTGGCACCTTGTAGGCTCATCAAATCCCTCGTTACACCGCCCCTCCCCCACCAGTCCATTTCACTCACTACTTATACCTCCGATTTTCCGTCTTACCATGATCCCTCGATAACACTCTTTTACCTTGTCATTTTTCCCGATCTTACTTGATGGCGGCGACAGAGCATGCTATCCCCATCAGTGAACCGATGGAGCTGCCATCGCTCCCGCCCAATCAGGGCCTTGAGGCGATAAAGGATATCATATTTGGATCGGTAAGGGAGACCTTGGCAAATGCATGCGGGAGATCTAGACTGACCCTCTCCCAAAGTCGGCAGGAATGGCAGGCAAACTCATTGAGTACCCCTTTGACACTGTCAAGGTCCGACTACAGTCACAACCCCAACACCTTCCTCTCCGATATGCAGGACCACTGGATTGTTTCCGCCAGTCTTTCCGAGCGGATGGCTTCCGGGGACTATACAGAGGCATTAGTGCCCCCATGACTGGAGCTGCGGTGGAGACTAGCTGTCTCTTCTTTAGTTATCGTCTCATCCAGGATGCCCTGCGCGCAACAGTCTACCCAGGCGTTGAACACCTACCATTCTTCGCTCTCATTGCTAGCGGGGCTCTATCCGGCTCGGTAACCTCGCTAGTACTCACACCTATTGAACTGGTGAAATGCAGGATGCAGGTCCCCGCGGAGTCAGCTGGCCTTAAACCCGCTGGCCCTATGGCCATTGTCACAAGCATTTTCCGACATGAAGGGCTAGCAGGATTCTGGCGGGGCCAGATGGGAACCTTGATCCGGGAAACTGGCGGAAGTGCAGCGTGGTTTGGCGGATACGAGGGTGTATCATCTCTCTTCCGCAAGTATAACAAGTCGAACCCACAATTGGCCTCCGACTCGCTCCCCATCCACCAACAAATGATCGCAGGAGCAACGGCTGGAATCAGCTACAACTTCCTGTTCTACCCGGCCGATACAATTAAGTCTCGCATGCAGACTGTAGACGTCTCACTACTTCCGGCCCATGCTCAGCAACAGACCTTCTGGGGCGAGACCAAGGCTCTATGGAGGCAGCAAGGGCTCAAGGGCATGTACCGCGGGTGCGGGATCACCTGCGCGCGCTCGGCACCCAGCTCAGCCTTCATTTTCACTGTTTATGAAGGATTACGGCAATATTTTGGATGAAAAAAAAAGAGAGACTGTTACAATCCCCCCTGCATATAGAAATTTGTCACCATTTTATCGATCCAACTGAGGTTCGACGATCGTGTTAGCCTCCATTTTCCTTTCGAATTTTTCACATCTGACTCTTTGGATTTTGGCATCGTGCGCTATACCCCGGATACATTCAAACACCATTCTTGACTCTACACTTTCTCTCATGTTCACCTCGACTTACTCGATCGACGATCTTCGATACGCAACCCACCAGTCGTCTATCATGAAGATCAAGCGCCGTTTAACGCTTTCTGGTTTCCCTTGCTCGATGTGAAGCATCGAATGCTGCTGAAACGGAGCCTGGCTGGCTTGATGTATGCCAGACCAAGCATCTCCAGTCTAACCGATGATATTCCATCTATGGCCCTCCTGTTTTAATGAATTGAGGATGAAGGCGTTAATAACTCGGCATTCGAATCTGGTGAACGGTAATTAGTCCGACCTTTTTTCTGTCATCTTGACTTGTTTTTCTTTGTATAGAATAGAATTCAACTGCAAATAAAACATCCATTTCAATGTCTAACTGTGTGAATTTGATTCTTCAGTTTGCCATTTTCATATAAATCCAGAACACCAACTGGAGACTGAAGGTTACGTAAGACCAGGACCTTTCCCGGAGGCCTGGACAGGCGGACAAGGATATCTACACAGGCCTTGACCGTATTTCCACGTATTATCAGCCTGTGAACATGTCCGATGTTGAGCACAATATACCAGCCTCATCGTCTGGTCCCCAATTGAATAAACGCAGCTGCTCGCGTTGCAACCAAAGAAAAGTAAGGTGCGATAAAGTATATCCTTGCAGCGCATGTGTGAAAGCCAAAGTGCAGTGCACCTTTCCCGGCCCAAAAAGAGCCCGGCGGACATTGAACAGGCCACCAGTTAGTGAGTTACTCACTCGCCTAAAGCTCCTTGAAGAAGAGGTCGATCAACTGCACTCAACACGTCGCAACCCGGATACCGACCATACACCGGAGTTGGATGATCATCTAAATCTGCCAAAGACAGCCAAAAAGACAGAATTTCTGGTCCTTAAAGAGGGAAAGAGTCGGTACGTCAGTGATGAGGCTTCTGTTGTGCTAGGACAAAAGGTGAAATAGGATCACTCCTGGTATTGAATGAATATCAACTAATTTGCTATGTAGATATCTGAACTTCGTGATATTATTCAAAGCTCTTCAGATGAAGAGGTATGTTCATCTGATGTGAAATATAGTCCTCTTTTCCTGCCGGAGGGTGGACTTCTTGGAAATCACGAGTCTACCTGGTCTTTCGACTCTTTTTCGTCTCCATTACTGTCAACCGGCAAGGCTTGATGCATTATGGAGAACGTACCGAGAGAATGTGGCACCGTTGATTGTCATACTCCACCAAGCCACCATGGCGAGGATAGTCCAAGACGCCTGTGCTGGTGTCGACTTGGCCCCTTCGGATGAGGCATTACTATTCTCTGTGTGTTATGCCGCCGTGGCTAGCATGAAAGCGCACACCTGCCCTTCCATACTTAGCACAGACCACGATACAGCCATCCAAGACTTCCAAAAAGCAGTGGGTCTGGGGCTTCGCCGAGCCAATTTTATCAGTTCCCAGAGCTTGTCTGCTCTTCAAGCAGCAGTTCTCTTCTTGCTATGTTATCGAGTCGGTGGTGATACACGCCTTGTATGGGCTGAGTCTGCGGTCGTGATACGAGTTGCACAAGCACAAGGTGTCCACCGCGATGGGCAGAATTTTGCATTACCACCCTTAGAAACAGAGCTGCGCCGTCGCTTATGGTGGCATATCTGCCTGCTGGACATGTTGTCTTCGGAAGATCAAGGGGTCGATACTCAGATTAGATCTGAAATGTTTGACACGCAATTCCCGAGCAATGTCGACGATGATGATATTGCCTTGTATATGAAGGATCAGCCACTACCGAAGACCGGTTTTACAAGCACCACTATTTGCATCATGAATTGCCAGGTCATGACCGAAATACTCTGGCCGCGTCATGGTGGATACTCGGATATGTCCACACACGCCCGTGAGAATCTCATCACAGCTCTAGGGAAGAGCCTTCATGAACAGTATATCGATCATTTCAACCTGGACATCCCAATCCATTGGGTGATCGCAACTATCGTGCGACTTCAACTCTCCAAGGCGTGGCTGGCGACTCATTTCCAATCCGAAGCATCTGACGTGCAGACCTTCCGCCACGACGACCGTATCTTCGAGACCGCCGTCGAGCTTGTGCAGTTCTCCTATCTCCTGCAAACCAACGAAGGAACGTCGCAGTGGAGCTGGCTATGTAAAAGCTACAAGGAATGGCATGTGGTCGCTTTTCTACTTTCAGAGCTGTGCTTGCATCCACTCAGTCCCGAGACCGACCATGCTTGGGATGTTGTGACCAAAATGTATGGGCTGTGGCACCAGGATATGGCACAGACCGATGCGATGCTTCAGAAGCCCTTGGATCGGCTCATGGCACGCACGGCTTCATCACGAGCTAGTAGACAAGGGCAAACCAGCCAGACACCATTCAGTGACGAGGCATTGTCCGATATGTCCGATGTATCTTTTGGATTGGGTGGTAACCCCGATTCCGATTTACTGTTCTCTGGTCTGGACTGGCTTGTTGGGTCTTTATTCTAGGCCATGGTCATCTCTTCTTGGGCAAGTAAAGAGGCGATTTCTATATCAACACATTAATTCTATAATAACAAGTACTCCACAATTCAAACGATCAACCCTAACGCGTCTCGAATTGGCTATCCTCTTTCAACCAATCCTCAAATGTCTTCAAGGCAGGATTCAACCTTTTCAAAGCCGGAATATCTGCACCATCTCCCTCAACGTGGAACCATTGGAACATCACACCCAGCTCCTTGACACCGGCCATCATCAACCAAACCGGAATCCAATAAGTGGGCGGTACATTCTTGCCAGTCAACTTCTTGAAAGTCTCTGACATCTGATCAAACGTCAATTCATCCCCAGCAAACGAGAAAGCATGATTCTTCGATGCCTCGGGTTTCATAAATGCCGCCACAGCAAAGAACCCGGTGTCACTCTTTGCGACTAATTGCAGCGGCTTGCCCTTCAGAGACATCTGCCATGCCGTCGTAAACACGTTGCCGAAGTAGTTCGGCTTGAAGTTCTCAAAGAAGGCAACGGGTCGGAGAATCGTCCATTCCATATCGGTTCCTTTTGCTTTCTTTTTGAGATGCTTCCCGATCTCGTGTGTGGGAAATGAAATGCGGAACTGGGGTAGGGTTTTGACCTGATCTCTCGCCACCGCGGTCGACGGAGCTGTACAAGAAGTACTTGACGCCTTGTTTGGTGGACTCGTCTATCAGAGCGATTCCTTGGCGTCTTTCGTCATCATTTCTGGGATTGGCGGTCTGTTTTATTGGTCAATCGGGGATCTATATTTAGGACATTGTTTTTCTGAGGACTTACTTAGACGCTGAACACGCCCCAAACTAGGGTTGATACTTGACGTTTTACATTGTCGAAGATAGCCGCCGGGTTGTCGAGGTTGCCTTGGATCAATGTGAGATTGGGAGACTTTTGAGCGAGTTTCTTTGCTGAAGCGGAATTGACGTCGCGGGTGACGGCGAGGATCTTGTAAGGGGCACTTTTCTCCAGAAGATTCTTAACCACGGAGCCTCCTTGTTTGCCAGTGGCTCCGGTGATGAGAACTGTGGTCATTGTAAGAGGATTTAAGTATAAAGAGTAGTCTTTGGGAGGGGGTATAATGTGATAAATAATGAATGCTAAGCAGGATATCCTTTTAAATAGTCAGTTTCAAGTCTATTCCAGATAATTTCTAAGATTTCAGAGATTTCAAAGATTTCAAAGATTTCTAAGATTTCTAAGATTTCTAAGATTTCTAAGATTTCTAAGATTTCTAAGACGAGTGCCTCGGGATGAGTCTCAACCCCGGATTTGATATGGATGACATGACGTCACTTATCTACCGTCCAAGGTCATATCAAAGTCACATCGACATCAAAAGGCATCGAAGACATAAGACATAAGACATAACATATAGAAGTCAAATCGTATTATTCACGGCAATAATACTCATCCCCCTATGAACTTCTGTATCGGCAGCATGTAAAAACTCCCTTACCGTCATATCCAGCCCTTCTTCTCCCAACAAATCCCCCTCCAATTCACCTCGTAATAATGGACCATTCATGCCTCCATTCAACTCCCAAACTTTTCCATCTTTCTTAACAAAGGCAATAAAGTGAAACCCACATTCCTCCTGCGGCAAGGGCACAATTGAGCACCCTTCCGATGCCGCATCCATATGCGCCTCTTCCAAAAACCTCGAATCATACAAGAGTTGCGCCCTCTCCACCGGGCCCAGCCCAACCGCGCTCTTCACAATCTTCTCCAACTCCGATCCAGCCAGGACATATTTCCCATTCTCCAAATTGACAACCACATGTAGCAATGCCATCAGTCCACACGCATGTCCGATCGTCTGTTTCATCCACAGCACAGGCTCGTCGGCCCCGCTGCCGAGATACTCGGGTATGCTGTGTTCGATGTGAGACCGCGCGGCGAGGTAGATGGGTTTGTCGCAGAGGAGGATGAGGGCGTTTACGGGTCGTGGGATCCAGGAGAGCATTTCTGGGGTGGTGGAGAGGATATCATGAAAGGTGAGGCTCGGGGATACCCCGAGGTTCTTACATAGATGCGTGTGGACCTCTGGGTTGTTCTCTGTTACATTGGTGAGATTGGTTCTTGGTTCTAGTCTGGTCTTGTATCTTTGGGGGTGGGGGCGTGGAATGATGGTCTTACCTAGTGGTATAAAGGTCTTTTGGCCGTTGATGACCTGCACGCCTAGGTTAAACATGATTGGAGATGACAAGACTGTTCTCTTATTTGAACACTTCGAACATCGTATGTTTTGGTATAAGCGGGGGGAAAGGAATAGTGCTTAGTCATTGTCCACCTTCAGCCTATTTAGGAACATCCAACATCCAACTAAAGATACTCGATTTCGGGGATATCTGTGAGATACCTGTTTATGATGAGATTAGATGTATCTAGCAAGCTATATCAAGTTGTGTTTGATATATTCCGAGATTATTAGAGTGTGATATCCTATACTTTTGGTAGTGTAACGGGTACATACTGAATATATTTGAGTTGTATATCAGAGATAGATGAACCAAATGAATCATATCCAGCTTCACATCTTTGAAGGAATGAATTTATATTAATGTCATCTAAAAATAGCCCATATACATGTACCTATAACCCCATATCTCATCCTTCCATATCGCCTATCGCCTATCGGCGGATAAAAAACTTCCCCTCATCTCCCCTCATCTTCCTCCTCCTCTCTCTCTCTCTCTCTCTCTCTCTCTCTCTCTCTCTCTCTCTCTCTCTCTCTCTCTCTCTCACACACACAGACACACACACACATCCTCAGAATGGCTACCCTCACAGCCCAGGAGCTAACAGCTCTCTCCACCAAGGCCATTGACGCCAAAGCAACTGCCTATTGTATGACCCTTTCCCTTTCCTTTAGAGCAGCACAAACACCAGATATCTAGTTCCAAGTACAACAACAAACTAACACCATCTCAGGCCCATACTCCAAATTCCGTGTCGGGGCATGCATCCTCACGACATCGGGTGAGTTCATCTCCGGTGCTAACGTCGAAAATGCCGCCTATCCAGTTGGAACCTGCGCTGAGCGCGTGGCCATTGGCACTGCTGTTGTATGTTCTATACTGTCTTTCCTGGTTTACTTTGATCGGTTCTCTATCATTGTCATTGTTATATTATATCCGACCATATCTGGACCTTTGCTAACTCTCACAGGTCGCCGGTCACAAAGATTTCAAGGCTTTGGCTGTCGCGACGGATATCAAGCCTCCTGCGTCGCCTTGTGGGATGTGTAGACAGTTGTGGGTTTCTTCTTCTTCTTTCTCTCCTTTCGTGGTTAACTCATTGGGTTACAGCATCCGCGAGTTCACCTCGCCTTCTTTCCCAGTGTACATGTACGACGGGGAGGGAAATTACAAGGTTATGACTATGGAGGAGGTGAGTTTTTTTCTTTGCTTTTTGGATATATATATTTCTTACATCTCTTCGGTTCTGTGCTAATGAACCCAGTTGCTGCCCGACTCTTTCGGTCCCGAACATCTTAAATAAGGATAGACATAAGGTTTATCTGCATTAGTGAAAGGGGAGAGAGAGAGGGTGGGAGTACTGGACATATATGCATTGAATGGAGTCTGATATCCAGTGGAGATAAATAAATTTACAGGGGTCGAAGGAAATTATATTAATAGAGGTAAATCTTGCTTTGTTCAATGGGGGATATACAGCCCACAGTCCCTAAGCCTCTACATATAAAAGCCAACGGCTATAACCACAACGTACACAAACCGAAACCGAACCGAGAAACATAACAAATGGAACGCTCATAATGTTGCAAGAGTCAAACCCCAAAAAGATCATTTCCAACTGGAACCCACAAAGAAAGGCAGCTATGTCAAAATTTCATACTAAAAACCATAACCCTAATTTCCAACCCCAAGCCTAAGCCTGCTCCTCCTCATCATCAAGATCATCAGCTCCAAGCAACTCATCCTCATCATCCATAACAGAAGAATAATCCCCTCTCCTCGCCGCAAACGAGCCACGCGTAGCATAAGGTCTCTGCGCGCCCCGTCTTCCAAATAACCCAGACGTGCTCCGCGCCAGACTCCTAACAAGTAACGGCAGAGATTGCGCAACGGCAACAATACCTGCGATAATTGCCACCGGCACCGCGACCAGCACCGAGTCCCGGGATAACCAGCTCTGCGACGAGCCGCCGCCATCACCCAGCCGGATCTGACCGAATTTGCCGTCCCAGTGCGTGTACACGTACCAGCCGATGGCGACGGCGACGGCGATGGGTGTCACGATCGCGAAGAATAGGCCTGTTCCGCTGATGCCGTGCTTCTTTTGGTATTCTTCTTCTTTGTTCGGGCATGGCTTTGACACGTCTTGGTCCAGGAGGAGACCGCCCTCGCAGGTTGTTTGCGGGATCCGACGGTAGCCGGTGGGCTCCCAGTATTCGACCTTTTCGGGGTCTTGGCTACACTGTGCAATGTGGTCTTGGGGTTGGAGACCTGGAACGAGACCGCAGCTGCCGTCGGTTTGGATTTCGTAGTTGTAGTCACTGAAGCATGTTAGTTGGCATTTCAGATTGGGATAGGTGGTTGGGTGATTGTTTTGCTTACCATTCGAAATCAGCTCGGGTGCAAGTGCAGTTCCGGCCGATGCTGTGGATGTGTGGCTCACGCCAGGCATTCCAGCACTCAGCGGTAGGTTTCTTGCGGTGGTACTCCTCGACATGGCCAAAGAGACAGTTCTCTTCTTGGAAGGGATGACTGGGGGACCAGTTATAGTAATCGTTCTCATCGTCTTCACAGTCGCGGCTCCAAACACCGCTAAAGTCAAGAGTGATAGTGACGCGCTTGCCCTCGTCCGTGCCCCAGAGCAGGAAGTTCTTTGAGGTGTCTGATGGCACGGTGGAGATATCGTCGATGACCATTTCCTTTTCGGAGAACTGGAACTCGTGCCAGCTCATGCCCTCGTCGAGAGTGTAGTGTACAACCTTGGTTGCCTTCCGGTCGCTGACAAGCACGATTACCGAGCCTGCCGCGCCGAATTCCCACATGTACTGTCCCTTCTTCACTTGCGTCCAGGTGATGCCGCCATCCCTGGTGAGGTACGTGTCGGCTTCGGCTGCGCTGGTGAGATGCTCACCGACGTTGCCGAGCGCGAGCATCAGGCCAATGGCGGAGCCCGAGTAGAGGGTGTCGCGGTAATCGCGGCGTTCGGTGTAGCCGTGGAAATGGAGAGCGCACTTCTCAGTGCCTCTGCTCTCCGTAACAGAGCAGCCGAACTTCTTGCCATCGACATCTTGACTCGGGGGAGCCAGAAGCATCCACTGACCACCATCATTGTGGGTAATCATAGTACGTAGCTTTTTGGCCGCGCCCTTGTTCAGCACTTCTTCCCGATTCGAAACTACATTGGCAATGGCCACGCCCTCGAGGCCTTGCAACTCATCGTAGTCCGTGTAGCCGCGGTCGTTGACGTTGAGCCCTTCCAGACTCTGAACGAAGTAGGTGCCGTTGCTGTTACTCTTGACCAGGGAGCCGAAGCTGCGTTCATTTCCACCACTCACCATCACAAGGAGGAACAATGCGTGCGGGGAGCTAGGTAGAACGGTATACTGAGGGACCTTGATGTTGAAAGGGAAGTGTGCATCAGCGTAAGTGCGGCCGTCAACGCTAACACTGGCATTCAGGTATTCCTTCTGGTCTCCTTCGTACCAGGCGACGACGACGAAACCATTCTTGGTAGCGGAACGGGCGATGTTCTCAAACTTGACTTCCATGGTAGAGAAATGATCATCACTGGTGACCAACTGTCGGTTGTTGTTCTTTTCCTCATCTTTATACTGCTCGCAAATCACCAGTTTTTCACTGTTGTTGCGGCCTTCATGATATCCGAAGTTACAACCACCGCCGGCGACTCCAATAAGCATCGGGTCCCAGCTAGCGCCTCGCTTGTCGGTGACGTATGCCTGCGAGCGACAGTTCTTCCCCTCACAGTCCTTGTGGCCAATCCAGATTAGGGAATCCTGGAACTTCTCATGGAAAGCGAGCGCACGGATGTCTTCCTTGCTCGGCACACTGGGAGCGTCAAAGAAGTGAAAAGAGTCACCGTGATTGATAGTGTAGTACACCCTCTTACTGTCGGTGAGGAAGAAAGCCGCATCACTGAAGTAAGGATGTTGAACCATTTCCGTAAACTTCTCATCCGGATGGATTTGCTTCCAATTGCGGCCATGGTCGCGCGAGATATGCAGCTCGTATTTGTCCGTGAGCATCATGATAGTCTCATCAACGCCGTTGTTACTGGCCTGACGTTCGAGATAGAAGTAGTTTGTATGCTTGGCAGAAATGGTCTGAGGCTTTTCCGCACGAGGCTTGCCATCGGTGATGGGAGGAGGCCCCGTGACATTCGAGCAGGAGCGCTCAATCTGGCGCTCGAGATCTTCGCCACCTTCGCGGATACATGCATTGCCGGGGATGAGTCGCCATCCGGAGGGGCCAATGTACTTATCGCTGGGCTCATTGCACTTGCCAGCCGGAGGTGTCAGCGGGACAGCCGGTAGACATTCCTTACGATCCTCGCTGCGAACAAAGTTGTAGTCGCATTCAAAGTCTTCAGCGGAACACTTGCAGGGTTGGAATTCAGGGCCGCTGATAGCGAACTCCTTCTTGATAAAACAATCTGCGTTTGCCTTACGGCGCTGGAAGAACTGTTTCTGACCCATCAGACAATCCGGCTCGCCCTTTTCATTTAAACGGGCAGTCCACTTTTCAAGGTCATCAGAGCCACACTGGCGCTCGTGGAGGCCATCAAAGTCAATGAAATACATGAGAACTTTGGTATCATCGCTGGAGATACCAACGAGCAGGAACTTGAGGCTGGTCGAATCCGGCGTCGAGATCAGATACAGAGGTTTGATCTTCTGCTTGAGATCAATCGGCTCCCACTCTTTCCCGTGGTCGATAGAAAATTTGACATTATCCGTCTCGCCGCCATCCAAGACAGCCATGATTACACCTCCCTGGTCGCCAAACTCGTACCGATGCGGGCCCTTGAGCGCGCGCCGCCAGGTAAGACCTGCGTTGTCGGAAACATAGAGATCACCCTTGGAGTAGTCTTCGAGGTGACCTCCAGTGTTACCAACGCCCATGACCAAGCCCGGAGCCGGGCTTGAGAACATCCGGTGATCTGGCATGGGCATCTCGCGTAGCGCGGCGTAGGTTGTCATCGAATGGAGGTGTAGCTCGTCTTTATCAGCCTTGAGAGGTTGGAAGGTTCTCCCATCGTCAAAACTGATACTACTGATAAGCTTCTTTTTCTTCGAGTCAGACTTCTCAGCCTCCTCCCAGTTCTTGACCGTGTTGACAATCGTGATACCATGGATACCCGTGACTTTCTCAAAATCGACCAAGCCATTCAGGTCCTCGTTCGTATGCTCGATATTTTGCGTAAAGTAGGTACCATTGGAGTTGGACGAGAAAAGACGTCCCATCCGGTTATCATGCCAGGTAGTTTGCACGTCGATTTGGATGCTGTAGTTGGTGCTTTCTAAGATAGTATAGGCATCCTCTTCAATGCGGTGGTTGCCGAATTCGGCGCGGTGCCACACATTCGAGTCATCACTGACGTACAAAGCCTGTTCCTGGGTACCGCGGGATTGAAGACGCGCCACGATGTACTTGGATACAGAGCGGATCTGAAGACTGATCCCACTCATTGGTTTTCCATGGTCCAATTTCGCCTCGATTCCCTCCACATCATCTTTGAAAAACTTCTCGGAATATATCAATCGCTCTGTACGGGTATTCTCAAATGGCCCCTTCAACCCAGGGACCACGCAGAGGATCCGGTCTTCTGTCGATTTCGGCATGTCTATGTCCAACGCGAACTGCGGTCGGCTTACGGCCCACATACACTGAAGCGTCATCTCGCGCAACGGCTGGACGTTCTCGAAGTCGTCAATGGTGTAATACGCTTGGGGCATGCAGCCCAGAATGGTGCAGTCTAGACCCATGAAGATAACCTTCTTCGGATCCCAGCCATTGAACTCCAATGGGAAGGAGCGCATTGACGCGAACGGCATTACATCCACCTGGAAAGGTTTCCACGACTTGGCCTGGTCGGTCGTGATCCAGTGCTTGCCATTCTCGCCGAGGATGTACGCGCGGTTGGCGTCAAATGGATGTCTCCAGATCAACTCGACGGTGCCTTCTATAGTTCCATCCTTGCCCTTGACGGTGTCCCATTTCTCGCCACCATCAAAGGAGACATGCGCGGTGAGGGAATTCTTATCACGGTAAAGGATAGTGTTTGTGCCGCGAAAGTAGAATAGGTCTGAGGGAGGAGCGTTGAGTTCATGGGTCACGATATTCGGCTCGTTTCCCTTTGCCGTTGCTGGCTGCGATGTCCATACCAGCAGCAGGCTCAGTGTGAGCAGCAGCCACCGTGGGATCATGACCGGTGCTGCGTAGGCATCTGATGGGGTATGTGGGTGGGAGCTTGAGCGGACCGGACCGGGAATACGGGGTCAATCGATTGAGAGAGGGAACGTAAAGTCGCTAGAAAGGAGAGAGTTTTTTAGATGCCAGCAATGAATGAATAGGCAGATAGAAATGTCGTGATTTAAGATAACTAGTGATACTGATGACGGAGCTGCGTGGCCTTCTGCCTTGGGATTGAAGCTCCTTGTCACGTGAATATTCTTATCGGACCTATCGACTGGACCATGGTTTATAAAGAAGTCTACTGACAGCCAACCATGGATCATATTACGAAATTAGGACTAGTCTGTGAAGGTGATGAAGGTGATGGTGATGAAGGTGAATGGATTGACGTCGAGCAGCTGGTTATATGTACAAAAACACCGCTAAATAGATAACAATAGATACATGAAAAATGTTAACTCCCATGTAGAAAAGAAAACATCGCTCAAAATGCAAGGATCGGATATACTGAAAAGACATTCAGAATGGTATAGAACGAAATTGGGGTTCGTGACAAAACGAACAAAATACAACACCCCTGGTGTTGGAAATAAAAACGAGGAATATTAAAAAAAAAAATAAAAGGAATGGAAGTCGATCGAAGCCGATCGGGACATTTCAACGTTTTAAATCAAACTCGGCGTCGGAGCTTGCGCCACATCTTCTTCACCATACCTTGATCATCCAAGTCGGAGTCCCAGATCGATTGCCTGTGATCCGCGGGTGGAAGAGCAGCCAATCGCAAGGGATCTTCCTTTTCTTTGGAAGAAGCAGGAGAGGTGGGAGAGTCGGTGCGAAGGTCAGGTCGAGTGAGGGTCATTTTGAGAGTCATCTCACGATTTCCCGGAAGCCGTTGTGGGACTCCCTTGGCCCCAGGCATCCAGGATTGGCGTCGCTGCAAGAGAGCTGATGATTCCACCGAGGGTCGGGGCGCATCCCGGTGTGTGAACACGGGCGAAGGAATTGGTTCATTTTCTACCGATCCGCCTGGGCTCCCCACCATAGTGCCATCGTCATCTTCGAAGAATGTGCCAAAGTCCGAATTCACCAGGGTGGGTTTGGGTGAACTCTGTTGTGGTGTGATTGGTTCTAGGCCGATATTTTCCTTATTTTGATCCAGCGAGGGAAATCCGAATTCAATGGCTTCATCGAACTTTTGTGGGGATGCCAGGTATACGCGCAATTTCAAACGGGCATCGGGGTCTTGGTAGTATTGTGCACAGGGGTCAATGTTCGAGGTGGATGATTTGGGGGCATGTTGGAATCGATGGCTGGATGATGGGCGTGATTCGGGGGTTCGGTTGGAGAGAGGGGTGAGAGGCTGAGATTGGTTGACAGGCGGGAGTCCCCGAGCTGAAACGGGGGTGATTTCTAATGTTTTGCGAAGATGGTTGGAAAAGGATAAGGAGCGGCGGAAAGAGGGGCGGGTTCTCTTTCTTGTGGTAGCATCTGCCACATGAGTGTGGTATTCATCGAGAGACAAGTCCAGATCGCCATCCTCGTCGAGCCACCGGAAACTGTCATGGAATGTTTGATCCATGTTTGGGTCCTCTTCGTCCGATTCGGAGTCTGAATAGAAGACGGTCGATGGCTGAACACAAGGCACAGTTTTCTGGGAGGGGTGAGTGTCGGTGGAAGGGCGAGAGTTCCCAGAATCTCGACGATAAGCTTCGTCGGCAGCGTCGTAGATGAGACTTTGTCGATAGGCGTTCCTCAAGCGTCTCCGTTCTTCGGGAGAGAAAAGTTTTTGTTGAATCTTAGCGGGGAGAGTATGGAAGCATTGAGAGTCCGCCTGGGCGGCCAGGTAGGCCAATTGAAGAGAACCGGGTTTGCGTAATTTCTTGGAGGGAGAAGAACGTTTCTCGAGCCCTCGCTTCCTAGATCCGTTCCGTAAACCACGCGAGTGATACTCAGACCCAAGACGAGGGGTTCGATAGACCCGATGATCGGTCTGATAATTTGACGTGGAGCACGTAGGGGAACCGTGATCGCTCTGAGCTAGCCGAATACGCAACCGCTCAACATTCGAGAAGAACTGTTTGAGTTAGCTGTGGACATTAAACAGCAATGGATAGGCAATATGGGGGGATGGAGTGGAGCACATAATATCCCATGCGCTGACATTGGACAATGTCGGTCAACGTCGGCCAATGTTGCGAGACAAATGGCGCCATGGACGATAGTGCGGGTTGTCAGCCTCCACCGAGGGGGCTCAGGGGTAAATCCCAATCAATCACAGTCGATGAGCGAGTAAGGGCAGACAAAGCAAAGGGCAAAAATGGAGAAAACGGGCAAACCAGGCTTGATTGGGTTAAGATGATCCCCCTGGAGGGAAGCTATTGGGGAGGGAAATGAGAAGTCCGAGCGTACGGTGAGAGAGACTAGGAGTGATGGGATATGGAAACGAGTAAACCCTTACCTTTCTTCGTACTGCTGGAGGCAGTGACTCGAAGTCTGACATTGTGAATAGAAAGGGATAGAAAGGAATAGAAAGGAATAGAAAGGAATAATCGAAATGACAGTGATAGTAATCGTAAGAGTAAATAGCAATAACAGCAAGAATATGAAGTGTATACTTCGGAATGCATACAAATTCTAATAGAACATCCAAAATGGAAAATTGGGAAATTGGGAAATTGAGGGGAAAAAGGAGAAGGAGACCCAATATATATCTAATAGAATCCAATATGAGGTCCATTCGAATATCTTAAACTCTTCGATCTGTGACAGGATGCTGTACATTAGCGCCCTTGTGATTGTGATACTTCTATTTTCACATCTTACCTCTCTACATACTTGGTATACTTCCTCTCTACTTTCTATACCCCTCGATATGATCTATCATGAACCCCTCTATTCATGCCTGCGAACACATCAGATGAACTTAAAAATTCAAACGAACTCTCGATATTTCTACGAACCATGTGAACAATCCATTCCTCATCCCCATTACCCAACATTGCCAAGTCACGCAGTCGCTACGCGCCTCGCTTTGACGTGGCCCAGTAAGGGAACCAGCTTCAGCTCCACTTAGATCGCTGATTTTCCGTCTGAAACATACAAATCTTAGATCGGGGGGAGGAGGGAGTTGGAAATTTGGAAATTAGGAAATTAGAAACAGTGAAGCCTTTGTGCTCTTCCCTGCTCTCTGTTCCCTGTTCCCTGTTCCCTGTCTCAATATTGGGTACTAGCGGATGGTCGCGGAGCTAACGGTTGGGGGATCGAAGATACAAGAATGACATCCCTGGGGAAAAGTTGATGTATCAAATCTTTCAACGTCCAATGAGAACGGATGGTTGGAGTGTCCACTGGAACAAAGGACAATTACCATTTGGGCCGAATGTGACGGGATATTAATTAATTACGGAACACTCTAGTTATTAATTATAGTACGTTAACTATAACTAGTTAACTACAATAAAACTAAACTAGTAAACCGTTACACTCCGTACTTCGTACCTGACAGCTCAGATCATTCTAAACCGGAATGATCTATAATAAACTCAGCTAGATTAAATTCCCTTAGTCTAAACTGTAACCCGGAGATTACCAGGAGCCAATGACTTGCTTTTGTGGGATTTAGTTGAAGAATATGTATCTCAGGGATCGGCTATTGATCCGACAATCGCACTTGCATACGGAGTATACACACACGAACACATGATCTACACTAATATTGATTGAATACAATACTGGCAATCTATATGACATGACTCGTAAAATTAACAATGCTGGTAGCTGGTAACTGGTAACACGTCTACCCAAATATCCCCATAGCAATGGCTTCGAAAAAAAGAAAGAAAAAAAAAAGAAAGAAAGAATCCTCCGAGCACTCCTATTCTAGAGTAATCCAAATCTCTTTTCTCCTTGCATCGGGCTAATGCATATAACTTCAATTGTCTGAGACAAACGAGGAGGTCCTCCTTCCAGAACTCGTGGCACGTCGAGGCGTGCGAACTTGGGTTTTTAGGCACGATATATCACCTGCAAGTGTTATCTTGCTATTTGTGGAAGCAAACGCGTGGGATGTTCACCGCTGATACTGTAGGGAGTATCTCTTCCTGTGAGCTTCAAGGAGGAATACGAGGTATTTGATGCAAGTTTCCGTGTTGGCGATGCAGTCCATCAGTGGCCATACTATCTATCTACTTCAGGCCCCTGTCAGGGGCACTATCCCACTGCTAATCGCAGTATGAAGTACCGAGTAAAAAATGATAGCCAATCCAGCTAGATTGAACTAGTTAGAGAATATCACAGAAGTCCTGCATAATTTCTCGCTCTGGTTGAATAATAGTTAGGGGTCGAGCGCAGGATTATCGAGAGATCGTCATCGTATTCGTCATCCCATAACGTGAGACCGTGCTGATCAATATCAAATGAAGGTTTTCAGTGGCTGTATTGCTTTTGGAGACAGTAAATGAAGAGTCACATCGAATTATTTGGTATCCAAGTGCATATATGCACTACTATGTACATGTACATCTTTCTATTAAACACAAATCTATAACACCCACTTTGTATATTCAAACCCATCCACCCTTCTCATCCTCCCCCGTCATCTTCCTCTTCCCAGCCTGAACCTTTGTAAGCGTCAGCTTCCTGCCAACGCCCCTGCCTAGCATGCCACCCTCAAGTGGAATAACATCATCCTCAACCGATGTCCTCGAGCTCGAATCCTTCTCCAGACTAAGTAACACCTCAACTGCATCCCGGTCCTCAATGACCTTCGGATGCCGCTGTGCAAAGTACCGCGCGTACTTGTACAACGACCAGTAGCAGCTGAACACGTTGACGACCGTCAACGCGATCTTGTAGAATGTGTAGTAGAACAACAGGACTTTCCAGTCGATGCGCTCTTTCTTTAGTCGGAGGTGAATCTCGTTGAAGATTATCACGTTGAGGATGTACATCGCAATCGTGACGCCCAGTAGCATTCCACAGAATGAGGGACGGACTATGAATGAGATTGGGAGGATGAAGGGGGCAAAGAGGTAGATGAGGGTTTCGTAGACCTGTTAGGGTTAGCTGATGCAACTTTGACCTGAACCTGAACCTCAACATCGACATTATGCTTTTGTCGAAAATCGAATGGATGGAATGTGTGTATCATACCTCTTGAAAAACGCACAGCTTCGCACCAAACTCCCACCAACCCAGCTTCCAGCTAGTCAAGATATACTTCAAATCGTAGTATACACCGACAACGAAGAAGAAATTCCACCGCTTAAAACGTTGCTGGAAGATGGTCATTTCACCGAATCCACCACGACTACCACCAGAACCACTCCAGAACACCGAAGCCGGCGTCTCGGTCTCGACAAAGACCTGCGAACACATCGTAATACGTCCGCCCAAACGTCGGCACGCATCGCCGAAGAACCAATCCTCGGACACGGAGAAACCCGGATGTTCATGGAAGGTCTCTTTTAAGAACTCGATATTCCAGAGCGAAATAGCTCCATGTGGGAATGTAGCACTTCCAAATTTCCCGAAGAAAGCACGCTGGATACCGGACATTTTGTACTCGAGGTCCTGGGCTTGTTGGCAGTATGTACCCTTTGAGGAATTGGGGCCGACACTTTTAATTGTGTATCCGATGCATTTGACATTCTTTTTGAGTCTGTCGCTGACGACTGGGAAGTTTGGAGGCAGGAGGCAGTCGTCGTCGATTAGGACGGCATTCTCGAAATCTTTGGCAGCGTAGCAACCGACAAACTGCGCCACGATCTTCGAGCCGATGGGTACCCAGAGGTGATTTACGCCGTAGGGTTTGCAGACTTCTTCTGTATTGTCGAGGGGGGTTTTGGAGTTGCCATTTGCTATGACGAAGATATTTTCTTTGGGGAAGATTTTCAAGGCGGCTTGGATGGTTGCGCCGACGATTGTTGCTGATTTATAGCAGGGGATGAGGAGAGCGGTGGATTTTACTTTGGAGACGTTGCTTTCCAAGTCTGGAGATTCGGATTCAGAGTCCGCAGCCGGAGGATCTTTCTCGAAGAGGATCATCAGAGGACAGAATGCGTATCTAGTCCTGGTTAGGGAAAGAAAATTGGAGCCACGAGAGGATACTTACAGTGCAGCCAGACCAATGATAATTGCGTATCCTCCTTGGATAACGAACTTGGTTCGGACAACATAGTACAGCCACCAGACAGCACCTTTCCACAGTGGCATGCCGATGAGGACGAAGTAGACAAACAGAACGAGGAATGCATAGATGCTGTATTCAAACAATAACCGCACCCAATGCTTCCGTTGGATGGCAACACCTCTCAGTTTGGCTTTTTCGTAGACTTCTTGCAGGCTGCTCTGCTCGCTGCTGATTGTCTGGGAACTGGCGTTGTTGGGTGGTTGGGGACTGAGGAATGCATTCTCAACTGGCGTTATTGGTCCTTTCTCGGGGATTGGAGAGGGAGGCTCAAATGTGGTGGGCTTTGCATAGTAGTCGAATGTACCTGAAGAATGAGATGGGGTTAGCTTGATGTATATAAGATGGTGGCATCGATTTGACATGATCTCTCATGTCATTCTACAAGGTTCTGCCATAGATATCGGGTATCAATATCATACCCTGAAAAGCAGGAGGATCGCTGCTTCCACGGGACCGAATTGCAAACTTTGGTCTTGCTACTGATCGTAGAGCAGAAAGACTCAGAGGACGATTGGAAGAAGTGCGAGCCTCTGGAAGTGATATACGAGCGTTGTCGGGGAGAGACTGTTCCCATCGAGCCAATTCCCAGGGCGAGTTGAATTTGGCAGTCGTGAGTAGTTCTTTGGGAATGAAAACATCTTCCACAATGGACTTTCTAGGGTTTTCTTCAGCCATTGCGGGTAATATATTCAATTTTGCAACCATAAACGAGGGTATCGTAGTCAGAATGAAGGGACGGCAACCCGAGGTCACCAGTAAAAGAGTGAATATCTCGCTACAAAAAGGGAACTCGAGGGTGTCTCTTTTATTTATGATTGAAATCTCCCTCTAAATCAAGTCTATGGAGTAAATCTCTTTTGCCTAAGACTGTGGGCCAAGGTTGAGTGGCGTCTCCGTTTGTGAGACTAGATCTGATGGGGCATACTAGTACGGCTGAGAGCTGAGAACTTGGAAAGGAAAGGAAATGAGGAGGTTGATTGTTGCACACTGTCGTGATTTTAGATCTAGGATGAGTTACTACGAGTATATGTGATATAGTAGCATGATAAACCCCCATGGTTCTGTGTCTACATGTACGACGTACTACAAGATCTTTTTCAGAGATGCAGGAACCATGAAACCTTGCACGAGAAGGACATAAAAATGGGGATAGCTAAGAATAAACCAATGCGGGTCGTGAATTGCGTTCTTTACGCCCTGGGGCTACCACGGGCCAACTGAATCATGTTCGGACCCATGTTTTTCCACACTACATGTAAGTGCTCATATAGTTATGAAATAGTTATTGCCTAGAACATCTTCAATTTTAA